CACCGTGAACTGGACTGTATAATTATAGTGACATTTTTAGTTTCTAGTTAGTGTCCGGAGTGCGGACAACGTATATTTGTAGTATAACGGAAACTTGTTAGTATCCGGAGTGCGAGTGCGACGTACATAAGGCGCACACTCACAGGTGTCTTCAGCAAGTCCGAGCTGCAGACAGACAAATAACCATGGCCTACCAGCAGCAACCGTACGGTCAGCAACAGGTGAGCCACTGTGTGCCGGGAGAGAAGTTCAGCCGTCTCGGTCCGTGTGTGACACCGGCCGAGCCGCTAGGCTGGGCGTGGCATGTGTGTACGTATAACTGCTCGAGGAGAGAAAGAGAGAGGGGAGGAGAAAGATCTTGCAGAACGTTGTACAACTAGAATCTAGAAGAGTGTCTGGGCCGGAATGAATGTATAAGCCACTATGGATCTTGGGCGGTTCTATTACAGCTGAGGCTATCTATGTCACCCGGAGGCTGGGTGGTTCCTTGGTGCAAGTAGCTCTGTACGTGTATTAATGGATTCCCAAGTCCGTAAGGGCACTGACTGAATTATGCCAGCTGTCACACTAGTGGATGGCGGAGTGAATAGTAGGAACACTTCATTCATGAACAGAATATTGTACTGTATGTGTATGTCATAGCTATACACACTGCAGAATAGGTCTAAAAATGGAATCTGGGTATATACAAGTATGATGTTTAGTTCCAGTAGCACCTTCTGACCCAATGTATATGTAGGGTGCGCAGGCTGTAGCTGTGATGTAATTCATCACATGACATTAGATAGTTCCAATTTTGCTGGTGGGGCCACCTGACTATGTAATGTAATTCATCCTCTGCTGCCTATCTTGAATGTCTCATCGAAGCTCTCTCTCCCTCTCTTCCCCGCTCCAACTCACAGGGTGTGTACCCTAGTGCTCCACCACCTCAGCAGTATGCCCCACCTACCTATCCCCAAGCCCCTCCTCCCCAGGGCTATTATCCACAAGGAATGCCTCCACCGCAAGCAATGATGCCACCACCTCAACAAGGCATGCCTCCAGCCCAAGGTATGCCCCCAGCCCAAGGTATGATGCCTCCAGCTCAAGGAATGGCTCCTCAGCTCCCAGGCCCACAACTGCCTTCTGGCTACAACATGCTGGTAAGAACAGTGGAACATCTCTAATCTAGACACGAATTAGGGAAAAGAAAGTGCCCAGGTGTCCTTTTTCAGGGGGCAACAATAATTGTATAGTTGGGGGAAAGAAAGGGTGTCCTTGTGAAAGAGGTATCCTCGTTTAGTTTCTTAGAGAAGGGCTCTTCTTTGTTGTCCCACAGTATTGTGCCAATGTACCAAAAGATGCAAACTGTTTGCCACTGTAATAGTGCCTCTATGTATCTATGATGCTGAAGTAGCAATAATAGATGTGTATGTATGTACTGCAGGATGCATTCAGAAGTGGAAACGAAGTTCAGCTGATTGCTCGTGCCACGGGGTACCCCCTCATGATGAGGAACGGTGCCATCTTCGGCAACGGTGGATTCGTCAAGAACGACTGTGGGTTCCAAACCACACCCACCCAAACGAGCACCCAGAATTGTGCTATATACACACTTTGAGACATACACTGTCTAGCACAGAACATATGGCCTAAGTAAGACTAGAAAAGCCTCTAAATTATTCCTTCTAACTTTTTCTGTCGTAATAGATGTTGCATGTGTCGTAAACAGCCAAAGTCCGAAGCCCTCCACTATAAGTTCTCCACCCCTCTCGTTGCCACTGTGTAGGCAAGTTCAAGGTGGTGATTCCTGACAAGGCAGGTCCGGGGGTGTTCATGCTCCAGAATGGAGAATGGGCTGGTCTCCACATTGCCATCAAGAGCCATAAAGTCCAAGCTGTAAGTCCATGTCGCAGTTCTGTTGATACCCACGTAGCTATTGTACTCGCCGAATGGGAGAAGGCATGGACACATACCTCAACTGCATTCTTGGAAGCCTTACTCACAGGAGTGTACTTACGTCAGTTGATGTAACTAGGTACACTGGAACTCTAAAAAAGGACACCCTTGAAATGGGAACACCTCACTAAAGACACCTTCCTCAATAACTATATAGGTGTACCCACTGAAATGTAATAAAGGATCGTTTTTGATGCTGATAATATCTTTTGAATTGCCAATTACACGGCTACCTGAGTTCCAGTAGACAAGAGTTTACATTTGCCATAAGCACTGTATCATACATATAATTATTAGTATTGATTTCCATAATGTTTTTTGTTTTTCACTTTTGCAAAGAGTAAGGCCAACGAGAACTGCCACCTCCGAGTGCACGTCCAGCCAGACAACTACGTGGTCTTCGAGAGTGTCAAGAATCCGGGAGAGTTTGTTGCCATGCAGAAGAACGACGTTCCTCCGGAAAAGGTCAAAGGTCTCGAAATGAGCGACGAGATGGTGCAGTTCTTCGTGCGAGTGGAGGTAACCTTGTACTAACTCTTTATCGGAAGATTTTATATCGTTTGGTTGTGAATGACAGAGGCAGAAACATCCGCACTCGCAGCAAATAATGACGCCATTTGGAAGACTTTCCATTGCTGTAAGTTCCTCCCTGGATTTCCAGGGCTGTATTATACATTTCACCTTTCTCCCTCCTTATCTTCTTCTCCTTCCCTCTCCTCTTTCCCTCACACACACACGCACATGCACACGCACACTCACAGAATCAGCTGAGGGATCGCAGCATCATTCAGCTATATCTGAAGCCGTCCACCTACCTGTCCATCAATGGCACGGGATTCATTCTCTCCACTACCAACGGAGGAGACAAGAACAGTGAGTTACATATTTATTACTGGACTGTCCTATGTACTGGCACTCAGACGGACTGCAATTTTTCCTTTAATATATACCGTTTCTGGTGCATGTCGTATAAATAGAACTCGCTAACACACGTCGCGAAAATCGCGGAAGTATTTTTCGCAAATACTTTGTTGATTTGCTCGCTTTGCACAGCATTCTTCACCCTGATTGACCGAGGGATGGGCATCATGTCCCTGCACAGCCACCAGTACCCCGGATTCAGACTGAGGATGAACAACTTTGTCCTGGAGGGGAAGGTGAGAATACGGCTCTTGTTCTACATAATATTATACAGAGGACATAGTGGGGCTGTTTTTCAATGAAGACAACTATAGCGTAGTACATTGCAGTTTAGAGCGTAGTTTAGAGCCTTCCACGAGTGTTGGTTTGTGTAGATTTCTATTGTGACAGGTTTAGTAATGTGTTTTGGAAGGCTTTGTGGTGTTTTCCACGGTGGATGGCAGTTCTCCTGATCAAGTAGCTAAATTTAGTAGCAATTACGTAATGACTATGCCTTTCGTGTTGCAAAAGGAAGCCATAGTAGGAGTAATGTGTACATGGTGTGCTTTGATCATAACTGTGGTTCCCTCGATGATCCAATTTACCCAGGGAGACCCCAATCTGTCTGCTGATTGGAGACTCAAGGAGAACGGAGACGGAACAGTTCAGTTTGAGAGTGTCATCTGCCAGGGAGCCTGCGTAGGCATCAACAAGGGCGGGACCCTCGTCAAGAACATCAGTATCTTCCTCGTGGTGAGTCCCCATCAACTATTATAGTATAGTCCACATCAACTATTTTAGTGCATAGCTGGTTTAAATCGAGCAATCTGATTGGTCCACACGAGGTACTTGATTTCCCGTAGTATACCTGGGACGCTCCGTAGTAAACCTTGTTTTTCATGTAAAATTTTTACATGAAAATGACAAGATCACATACATAATCTACAGAAACATGTAGCTTTATCGTCTACAATAATTCTTTTTCAGTATGCACAGCGAGACAAGAAGTCTGGGCCTAGCTGTACGTAAGCGCCTGTACGCTAGCGTTAGGGGTACGTCACGCCCGCGGATACGTGCGCGTAGAGTGGGCGGCGCCCCTTTTCCGCGAAGCGCGGCGGACGGCGAGCGGGTGCTGATATAGCTTCTGCCTACCGCTTCTGGCTCGCCGCTGGTGGCTGAAACCTCGCTCGAGTCGGTTACCAATCGCGTCTTCACGCTCATTCGAATTTCAGTCGCCTGGAAACGGGCGCTGTGCGTGTGCGGATTCGTCTGCTCTGCACTAAACATGTTAGTTACTCCGTATACTCGGGAACTACGGGATTTCAATGAACCCTCGGGCCATCCGCGTAGTTGCCCTCGCTGCGCTCGGGACACTACAACGCGGAGGCCCTCGGGTTCATTGAAATCCCGTAGTTCCCTCGAACGGAGTAACTAACTTATATATAGTACAGTGAAACATCTTGCAGTATACTGGATAGTCAAACTAGGCTCTACATCATTCCCGATTCGGTTTTAGGAAGGCTTATTAATTATTGTTCGCAAGGACTAAATCTTCCGTTGCCAAGTCACAATAGTATTATTATAATATAGTGGTCTTTTTGTGTTCGTATGGTGTGTAAATAACAATGGGTCTTTTAGTGGTTTTGCACTGTGCTTTTACAATACAGAACGTCCAGAAGTTCGGAGGTGCAGAGACCGTCACAAAGTAAGTGAACCAACGTTTCAGTGTGGTATATATTATGATATTGCACGTCTGTTTTGTATTATTATTGTTATACTAACAGGTCTCCGTTGAACTGATTGGTGGATATAGATATACTACAACAAACCTCTGCTATATGATTATATATACAGAAAAAAGCAACAGTTTGATACTAATGCCACCGTAGATTTTGTACTTGATTAAAGGATGATACAATCGTAATGTTAAAAGTGGTAAATTATTGGCAAAGTTCAAGTCGTTTCTTCATCCTTCTCCTCCTCCTCCTCCTCCGTCTCCCACCCGACTTTCTTCCACACTCTGACTGGACCGTGGGAGGCAGCGGTCAGCAGACAGCTCTCCTTGGGATGGTGCGCCAGTGAGTAGACCACACATCTGCTGCTCCCCCCTCCGTCTCCCTCCGTCGTTTGTCCTCGTGACGCCGACTTGTGCGGAGGGACGTGGGGAAACGAATGGAGCAGGTTTCCCTATTGTACAAAGGAAGAACTATCACTGTAACAGAATGGCGCCACGGCCATGCTCTATATATATGCTAGACTCTAATCACCATTACACAAACATAAATGAACCTGCAATGGGTTTGAGGGCAACACATATGGTGTTTTCCTATATTTCACGAAACTCAAATGAGGTATAATATTGTATATACCTCGACTAGGTCCCAGAAACAGACTGTCCCATCCTCTGAGCCGCTGACAACGTGGGCATCGTCGTGAGAAAGACAACTGTCCAACTTGTAGTCTTGGTTTTTGTGACCCTTATAGCTGCAACACAGCAACAAAAAACAGCCTCGTAGGTTTTATGTATAATGTATGGCAAAGTAGGAGCTGTTTGGCAACAAAATTAGCAGGTTTAGAAAGAATGAAGGGAATAACCATTCATACAGCAAGTAAGGTGGAAGGTGGTGTAAAGTGAAGGGAAACTCTGGGAAAGATGTATTGTGTGTTGACATTATGAGGGAGCTACAATGCAGACAGGGTCCAAAGTACAATGTACCTATTCAGCATTTCTCCAGTGTCCTTGTCCATGAGACGAAGAGTGTTGTCGAGACAAGAGGCCAGTATGCAGTTTCCGTCTCGAGAGAAACTCACGCACGTCACTGGGTCTGGAGGAACGGCGAAACAGGGGCACCTTCAAACAGCAAAATATTATCTACTTGGCAATTGAACCAAGCCTACAAAATAGTTTAAGTACTACCATTTTTACAGCACTGTCACATAGACATAGCCAATTTTACACTCAGTTCACTCGCCAATTCACTACATTCATTCTAGGTAATAGTCTTAGTTGATTATGTATGTCGTAGACCAACTAGCAATTGTGTCGCAGTGGAGTTTCCCAAATCTCAAGTCGTAGCGTCGAACGCTGCCGTCTACAGACCTGCAACAACAACAAAAGGAGACAAAATCATGTTTCTGGGCCTCACATCTCTTTGAACTACACAAAGCACACTGTTTAGTGGGTATTGGAGTGTATGTGAGCTGCAGACACACCCGGTAAGTATCTCGGAGGGTGCCAACTGAACCGATGTGACGCTGTCTTTGGCATCGCCCAGCACCTGAATGGGGTCATAGCTACGCGACCTGCAGTCCCATGCCCGCACACTAGAGTCATAGGAGCCTGGAACATGTATACACCAACAGGTTGGAAGTTTCTCTTCTTTAACAGATTCCCAGATAGACTTTGCTTTTTCAATTATAAATGTTACGGATATTTTCCACTTACCAGATACTATCACTGTTGAATCGTCGTTGAACTTGACGCTGTTTACTCTCTGTATTGTGTAACTGAAGCTGAAAAGTTAAGTGGCAAGTAAAACTCACGCTGATGTGACCTCTATATTTTCTGATGGGTTGGCCAGTGCCCACGTCTGTGAGTTGGACAGTCTTGTCGGCACCGCCCGAGCAAAGCCGAGAGTTGTCATGTGACCTGCCAACACCAGTTACATCATCCTATAACACCAAATTCCCTTTATACTTATAGCTAGTTGTGCCTATTAGTGAAACCGCCACAAACGAACCCTCTGAATAAAGGACACTATGACATTAGAGCTTGCCACTAAATAAGGGAGCCTCTGAATAAATGACACATTACGTCCCCAAGGTATGTGCAGTTGTGTATTTCTTGTTCTTACGCGTCTGCATCCAACACTTCATCTCCATGGCCACCGTAGGTCTTGATGAGGAGTCCTCTGTGAGGATTCCACAGTCTCACAGTTTTGTCGCTCCCACTAGTCAAGCAATACCTTCCTATCCCTGGGCAAGAGGTCACCATAGGCACAGATAACACTATAGTGCATACAAAGGACTCAACTATTGAATCTCACTGCTCTGACGGGTCCCTCGTGAGCAGATAGCTCAAACGCAAGCTGCACAGGTAGTGCCTCTACCATGATTATAGGTAGGTGTGTTGTAAGGAGGGGCGCGCGCACAATTACTAAGCAATGATGTAATGTGTCAAGAGTTTATACATTCAGCAGCCATAGGAATCGTTTCGAAATCGAGGAAGGGGATAAACGCAGTACCGAGGAGTGTTCTAGAGCGAGTGAGGGTCCCAAGATGATTATCACCGTCAAGACGCTACAACAAAAGACGTTCAAGATCGAGATAGACGACGCGGAGAATGTGCGTCCTTTTTCGTCGGTTGTTGTGGGCCGGGCACTAGAAGAGACTCGTGTCTCGGTGTGCGTCCTTGTTCCGTGGTTTATTTCTGTGGTTTGGACATGTAGCGGAGCGAGACACAGGCCGTTTAAGTGTATTCAAAAGGCAGCTGACTCCCATGGCCGGCCATGCCGCGGATGAGGGGCGTTAATTAGAGCACCGTGTACTTTGGTTTCCCTGGCTATGAGCAGCAGCATGTGTTGCCTTCTCTGTCCAGTCAGTCTAGTTTTGAATGCGTGTCATGCATGTGAATGGTTGGTTAAACTGATTCCTAAATGACATCTTCGATTTCTTCATGGAGGGCCATTAGATACAAACTGCATGTATGTTGTGTAGCCATAATTTACAGAGCTACTAGTCGTAGGTGGGGATATTTCGTTCGTTGTAAGCGTGTTTATGCGTGTGCGCTTCACCATTGTAATTGCGTAAAGTGTAAGGAGCAGCACCCAAAGAACAATGTACTAGTATATCTATAATGAATGGCACATTTGTCACTGCAGGTTACAGCTCTCAAACAGAAGATCGAGCAAGAACAAGGCGCTGCTTTCCCTGCCGCAAACCTGAAGCTGATCTATGCTGGTAAATTGTGTATACTGTGTACACTGAGATATAATGCTCAATTTGCGCGCGAGGTAGTCAGCTGCCTCTTTAGCTCAGCGGTTAGAGCACTGGTCTTGTAAACCAGGGGTCGAGAGTTCGAATCTCTCAAGGGGCTAGCTTTTTTTAATCTTTTTCTCCACTTTTACTTTTTTCACAGGTAAGATCTTGAATGATGTTAACATTCTCAGCGAGTACAATATTCAAGAATCAAATTTTGTTGTTGTTATGGTCAGTAAATCGAAAGCAGCCAAGACCACTACAGAGGTATATACATAAGCTTTCAGAATATCCTGTTGTGGTTTTCACTCTGGTATATACTATCCTCAGAGTATACCACATTCCTACTTTTGTATAGTTAACTTGATGAAAGATGACGTTTGTTGATTGTGTTTATGTCACAGGCTACTTCGTCACAACCTCAGCAGCAAACAGCAACTTCTGGTGCCACGTCAGCTACTGCACAAGAAAGGTTTGTGTCACTAATAGTGTAAAGTTTTTTAGTTATTATAACACTATAATGTGTCTGAGAGAAAAGTTTGACCAAAGAACTGACTCTAAGACTTGTTTCAATCCGCAAGTGGTAGTTTTCTGAACTGACTCTATCCGAATTCTTATGCATTGATGATGTTTGCATGTATTCTGTATCTCTTTTTTGACATTACATTATGACATAACTGTATATTATGTATGTGTTGAAGTATCTCAGTATTATAATAATTACCCTGTACATCTACCTCTCTTGCACATGCTAGTTCTGCCAGTAGAGAGGGTGAGGCAGAGTCGAGCCAGCAGGCGCAGCCAGTGACATCGACTGCCGCCACTAGCGTCCCTTCGTCAGACCCGCAACAGCAGAGTGCTACCGGTCCCTCCACAACCCCGACTGCCGACTCCACAGCTGGTACTGTCGCCACTGATGGAGGAGGAGGAGAAGGAGGAGAAGAAGGATCCTCTGAATGGACTGCCTCAGCCTCCACACTGGGTATAATACTAAAGGAATGCAATGCATTTGGCGAGCTAAGCAATCAGTTCGATTTTTTCGGGTTAGAATAACATATATCTTTGTCCATTGTATACATAGAAAAATCCTTCCTTCAGACAACTAGGTGGGCTTGCTTCGCTCGCCAATTAGTAACACTCTGAGAGTTTTAAGCAATTTTTCTGGCGATCCACTGGAAAAAGTGTAATGAAGGAAGCATTGCATGTAATTCTCTATTTTATCTTCACCACTCCTACACCCCCCCCCCACACACACACACACATGCGCGATGCCCAGTGAGAGGTTCAGAGTACGAAGCAGCACTTGAGAGCCTGATGGGGATGGGCTACGAGAGGGCAGAGGTCGTGCGAGCTCTCAGGGCCAGCTTCAACAACCCAGACAGAGCAGCTGAATACCTTCTCACTGTGCGTTCCACACCACAATCAACACCAGTGATGTATGCATTCGTTGTATCAAGCTGTACATGGGTGACTTTTGTTCATGACAAGACCACTTGTCCCTGCTTTACAAATTGCCTGGGGCGCAACACTGAATTTTGTGTGAATAGCCCTCAAACCGTGAAATTTGCCAGCGGTGTTCTTTGGAAGTGTCCCACTGGAAGGTGCACGCCCGTTGTGTAATATGAGGTTACCGCTAGATCGTTGTCTTCCCATGGCATCTACGTACCAGAGGATGTTGAACATGTAAAAAGCCAGTATGCTGTTCTTGACAGAGTGTTGACTCACTTGGTGACTTGGTAGCACACGTTACACATTGGTAATGTGAGCACCAACTACTCCTGGTGTCCATTGATTGTGCAGACCACTCATGGTAGTGTGGTGTATGTGGTTATGTACAGGGAATTCCTGAGAACCTAGTGGAGGATCCTGCACCACCAGAGCCCCAACAGCAACCACAGCAGCAACCACAGCAGCCTCAACAACCACCCGTCCAGGTTAGCGTGTGTGTCGTCAGATCCTCAGCTTTTTTTCTCGTCTGGCAATGATTCCGCTAACTATGAGCCGTGTTAAGTATGTACAGGAACCCCACACCCCCACTCAGCACCACAATATGTCATCGTTCCAAATGAGTTTAAATTTTATACACCAATTAGATTTTCATCGCAAGTAGTGTAGGGGTGTTATAATCTCAATGCAAATTGGTCCAAAAGTTGATCCCTCTCATCTTATAACCACGTAGACAGTCGATGTAAACATTCGATGTAAACATTCGATGTAAACATTTGATGTAAACAGTAGTGAGTGTGTTTAGTATTGCCTCCCTCCGCGTGTGTACAAAGGTTTCCTCGTGTGTTACGTACTCTTGTGTCACAGGTACCAGCAGAGCAGCCAGCTCAGCAGCAGCAGCCGGGAGCCGTAGTCCAACCTCCAGCAGTGAACCCTCCTCCCTCTGGCGGGGGGGAGCCTCAGGCCGTGGCTCAGGGTACCGGTGAGTTATCCTCCTCCCCCTCTCTCTGATCTCTTAATTACTTATGCTGTACTCGTTTTGTGTGATAATTGCAGGGGTGCCACGACAACTAGAGTTCCTGCAGACGCAACCTCAATTCCAGAACCTTCGTCAGGTGCTACAGAGGAACCCGGAGATGCTCCAACCTCTTCTCCAGACAATTGGACAGAGCAATCCTCAACTGCTTCAAGTACGTAGAGTGCTGGGTTGGTGTGTGTGTGTGTGCGTGCGTGCGTGTGTGTGTGTGTTAGACCACTGTGTTAGACCACCGTGTTTGGTGTGTAGGCCACCAATCATCCATCTTTTAGTGCTAAACTACTATTTCTGCGTTGTATCTAATATTCAACGTGTGCTGTGTGTGGACGTGGCTCTCCCTGTTTATTTATGAAACCTTTCTTTTGCACTAAGAACACCTCCTATAAAGGAGACACCTCACTTATGTATGTATCTTCCATTGGTGACTGTATTGACACACGCACGCACGCACGCACGCACGCATGCACACACACACACATCTGTACAGTTGATAAGCCAAAACCAGCAGGAGTTTATCAGAATGATTAACGAGCCAGTCCCAGCGGGTCAGGGAGGTCAACAGGGTGCAGTCGGGGGACAGCAGCTGGGGGCCCAGGGGCAGGGAACGCCCTACACAACCATCCAAGTCACCGCAGAGGAAAAGGAGGCAATCGAACGGGTAAACCCTACAAAATAATAGAGAGTCAAGCATGAAATTTACATGTGCTGTATATACAATGTAAAAGGGCCGAGTGCTTGTAGCTGTAGGTAACGCCTTAGTAGATGTGCATTTCATACATGTGGGTTGCGTGGGGATTTGGTGCTTAGCAAACTTTATCCAAATTGCCATGATAGCACGTTTTCATGCTAAGAAGAGCGGACTGTTACTTACACAGCACAAAGAAAAGAAGACTAGTGACTGACTTTGTATTTCTTCCCCTTTCAGTTAAAGGCTCTGGGATTTGAAGAACATCTTGTCGTGCAGGCCTACTTTGCGTGTGACAAGAACGAGCAACTCGCTGCGAACTTTTTGTTTGATTCCGACAAGTAGAAGTGCACTAGTACAGTAGTGGTATCATACAACAGTTTATTGGAGGGGGTGGAAGTACTCTGAAATATTTACACACACACACACACGTTGGTGAAAGAGCTGTATTGTTGCCCTGCCTCGTTGGCATATGTGCGCATGCGCTTATTCTGGACGCGCGCACGTGTTCAACCGTGCGAACTTTGACCTGCCAAAGCAGGGTACGTGATGGAGCTGAACAGTTCTACGGCTGGGAGGGAGGGACAGGAGAGTAAAGTGAGAGAATTCATGAAAAAGAAGGAGGAAGAGTTGCAACGTAGCTGCCAAGTCGACGAGAACCGAGAAGGTATCGTCAACGAGTCTTGTTTTCAACGAGAGCTTTATATTTCCTCTTTTGCTCACTTGCTTACACGGTTCCCCTTGAGACTGTTACCACTATGCCGAGTTCATGAAGAGCCTGGATGCCCAGAAGGCTGCAGAGATCCACCGCAGCACGTGTGAGGGCATGGGACTCTTAGACAGCTGTCTCGCTCTTGGGAACATGCACTATGTCGGCCACGGTCAGTTGGTGGTGCTCTATACCCTGTGCCTATAAGGGCTTTTTGTATAAATTTTACAAGTGGTGTGACTTTGCTTTATTGGTTACAGTTTGAATGCCTAATGCACTGTATTGGCCAACTGTGCATGTGTGTGAAATTGTTGTTCACTTTAGTGCATTGGCCACCATTTAGGAGTACCTAAGGACTTGTCCAAAGCTCTCTCTATCTTTGAGACGGCCTGCGAGAAGGGGTCGAGTGGAGCGTGCAACAATGCAGGACTTGTCTGGAAAACTTCGAGACCCGACGTACAGGCAGACTATAGTCGAGCTGCTGAGTTTTTCCACAGGGCTTGCAACGGTGGTCACAAGAACGGGTGTTTCAACCTCAGTGCGCTCTACCTGCAGGGGAGTAGTCTGGTGCCCAAGAACATGCCGAAGGCACTCGAGTTCTCGTTGAGAAGTTGCGAGCTGGGTCATCCATACGGCTGTGCCAATGCAGCGAGGATGTACCTACTGGGAGACGGTGTTGAGACTGATGCAGGAAAAGCAGAAGAACTCAAAAAGAAAGCCAAAAAGCTTATTAACTCCTAACCAACCTCTCCATGTGTGTAGTATTGTGTGTTGGTTTCTATGCACCATTCAGGTCCACTTGTTCATTGTCTTTTGAGCAACAAGGTTGAATCACGTATGAAAATGCTAACATTAAACACTCATAAAAACAAAAGTGCTATTGGGAGGTGCTGACCAGTGTTGTAAGCAAGGCACAGATTGCCTCGAAACTTGGCCGTGTTTTGGGCGTGCGTTTCCAACAGTTCCTCATGAGATTAGTCGCGGGGCAATTTGGCAGGATCTCGGGGGTGACCCCTTTCTCAATAGATTTGACTACTTCTTCGTTGGACATCCCAGTGTACGGCTGCTGACCGAAGGTGAAGATCTCCCAGAGGAGAACTCCGAAAGCCCAGATGTCGGTCTGCGTCGAGAATTTCCCATACAGAAGTGACTCTGGAGGCATCCAGCGAACTGGCAGCATTGCACTACCATGCACCCTGCAATAGGAGACATGTTTGCAAAAGTTATTTCTTCCCTGAATGCTTGGTAATGTATGAGAGACTATTACCGGTAGTAATCGGAGGAATACACATCTCTGGACATGCCAAAGTCAGCTATCTTCACCACCAGCCCAGTGCCAACCAAACAGTTCCTGGTGGCCAGGTCTCTGTGGATGAGGTGCTTGGAAGATATGTACACCATTCCTTCAGCCACCTGGATGTAATATAGCAGGCAACACACAACACACAGGTTGCACTATGATAACGTGTCATACAGACGCTATATTATTATGCTAAACCTAGTGGAAGCAGAAACCAATTATGGAGAGGTGTCCTCACTTCAGGGGTTAAAAAACAATGGGGAGATTAAAGGGTGTTCATTTTGTTCCAGAACTACAAAACGTGAATCTACAAACTATAAACCACAAGTGTGAATCTGTGACCTAGTGAAGATTATATATACCTGTACAGCAATGGACAGAAGCTCCTGAGTAGACAGCAGAGGGTTGTCCATGAGTGTTCCCAGCTCACCGTCCTTCTTGTCATTTTCCCCAAGACCGGCTGCATCTCGCAGGAAGCTACGCAGGTCCCCGAGGTCCATGTACTCAAAGATCATGGCAAACGGCTCCGTCTGGCTGCACACCCCGAGAAGACGGACGACCCTCGCGTGATTCAGGCGAGACATAAAGTCGACCTCACGGAAGAAATCTTCAATGATCTGTGGGGTGCTCTCTCCTCGTAGCTGTTTTACTGCCACGACTGTCGCTGTCCCTTCTTCTTCTTCGATTCCTACTGCATTTGCCTCATACACAACACCAAATGCTCCTTCCCCGAGCTCTCTTGTGAGACTCAGGTTCTCTGCAGGGAATTCCTTTTCGTGAGGCTCCCTCTGACTCCACGTGGGGTAGACCCCTTGATAAGCTAGGCTAACGGCCTCCGGTTGGAAACTGGCAATCTCCTTGTTTCTCCGGCGGTACCAGCCCAGCCAGAGGAGGAATACGACCAGAACAAGGACGATGAAGGCAGTGGGGAGTAGGGTAGAGGTGAGAATGGTGGCCACAGGCACTTTTGAATGCCTTGATACTGGTCTTGGAGCTGTGTGCCAGAGAGTTAAATTTGTTGGAGGTAACTGCGTAATTTTTTGGCAATAATCCTTACGTGCTGTACTGTTCTCTTCATTTTTGACGAGTCCAGTAACATTGACAAAGCCATCTAGATTGAGCAATAATGAAAAAAGTCTAGTCTTGATTTTGTGAATGCATACGTACCCTCAATACCAAGTGTTCCGTTTTCACTACTGCAAACCTCAAGCCCTGTGAGATACGAGAGAAAAGATCGTTCAATAAAAGTATACCTACAACTACCTATAAACCACTCGCAATTCTGCAATCTGATTGGTCAATTTCCTGTAGACTTGTAACGTACTTGGGCTCCTGATGTTGCATTTCTTGGAGAAGTAGAATGATGCAGGGCAGAATTCTAGTCCATCTGATGGTCTGATCATTCTGATTGTGATGTTCACATTAGTCGTTGTGGGACCCTCAGAGAGACAGGGAAAGCAAGCACGGAACCCTGCCGCAAACAGATTTTGTCACACGAGTGTGAAGAAGACTGGTTATGCTCACTGTAAGAGGTGGTGGGTAGAACCCCGGTAGTAGGAGCAGACATGAGCGGGTGACCAAGATTGTTTGGATTATCGGACTCCAGTGTCACCGTGTAGTTAATTGTCTGAGAAAATAAAGCTAAGACTCACAATTGATGTGGCAGTGATCCACAAACCTCTTTCCCTGCATTGCACCACACCAGCGGAAACTCGACGACTTCGTTCGGCAGCGCAATGATCGACGCCAGATTAGAGTCCGCCAGTAGACTGGTCACCTCCCCGCTCTCGATGATGACCAACGGCTCTGCAGTTTCAGAGGCATATCTCGCTACCTTGTGTAGGTAGCTAGCTAGCTAGGCACGTGTGTAGCTACAAGCTAGCTAGCTAGATTAGCTACACCATTCAGCTTGCGGCCATACTCACCAGTCAATCCCTGGTATATACTTTCGAGGTCGTCGGGCAAGCTGAACAGCCAAACTGGACCTTTCATACACTCCTGAGCTTTGACGAGACCCACCACGAGCGCCCAGAAGCAAAGAACTCGACTGCGAGAAGGCCCCATTTTACACAAAGCAGCTAAGTAGCCCCACCCTTACATGGAGCGCTACGAGACCACACCCATCACGTGTATATAGTAGCAGCCAGCTTGTGAAGTGAGATGTCAATTTCCAGTGTCGTTTTGCCAGGAGATGAGCTGGCAGCGGACAACTCGGTTGTTTTGGGACCAGGTACACGCAGGGACGAGCGTGGAACATCGTACTCCACCGTTGCAGGGGTGGTCAGGGGGCGAGAGGGGAAGAAGATATGGGTGGATTTCAACTCAAAACGAGTAGGGTTCTCCCCTCGTGCAATTCTCTTTTATTTACTGACTGAGAGTAGCTAGATAGTCGAAACTCTGAATAGAGGAAACCTCTTTATAAGACACCTGGTACTAATACACCTCTATAGGACGTCAGTGAACTGTTTCGATGTCACCCTTATTTTGGGGCTCCTCCGCTGTATTCTCTCTCTCTCGCAGTATGTGGCGGTGAAGGGTGAGCGAGTGCTGGGTGTGGTGACAAAGACAGGGAGGGTGCACAGGGTGGACATTGGGGCTGCTCATCTGGCCTCCCTCCCCGAACTCGCCTTCCAAGGGGCCACTCGCAGAAACAAACCAGCACTCCAGGTTGCTCATTTTAATACTAACATCTCTACACAAATCTCTACACATTAGAGATATAATATAGCTGACTCTTCTTCTACATTATATATATACACAGCGGGAAACTGCATTAAGGGATTCACAAATTACGTATATATCTAATGGGGTTTTACGAATTACCCATTGAAACTTCGATATTTACCAAGTGTTCTACCTCTAAAAATTTCCTTCTATAAAATTTCCTTGTACACCATTCAGATGGTATTCTATTTTGCCCCCAGGTTGGAGGGTTGGTGTATGCGATGGTGTCGCGAGCTCATCCACATTTGGAGCCCGAGATCTCGTGTGTGGACGGAGGTGGCAAGTCAGATGGTCTGGGGCCCATCCCCACCTCCGGGTTCATGATCAGATGCTCTCTGGGTCTCTGTAGAAAGTAAAATCCTCCTCAATGAAGCAATCACAATTATTTATACACACTTCAGCAATTCTTTTGTGCTACACTGCGTAGCATTGTATTGGAATATGTAGTTGCGGGGGATAGCCTTGCAATGATCATAAAACGTGGAAATATTACGTGTTTCAAAAATATTCTGTATAAGATAGCTCATTATAGGACAGTGTTTAGACCGGTGTCAAAACTATTTCATTTTCATGATGGGTGTAATGGTTTTTTGTTGATGTTTCCCTCCAGGTTGCTGGCTAAACCAAGTCCCGTATTGAAGGCCCTGGGAGCAAGACTAAAGTATGAGTGTGTAGTGGGAGTGAACGGCAGGGTGTGGGTCAAGGCTGCAGATGTGGCTCAGACTATCATTGTCGTGAACGCCGTCCGGAACAGCGAGTTCATGTCGGAAGAACAGTGCCGCCAAATGGTGGAACAGATGCTAAAAGTTGTAGCATTTCAGATTATGTCACCGTGTTCTAATTATACGTTAGCGTTGTCTCCGTGTGTAATTTTGAAATCGATGATCGCAAAAGCGAGTGCATGACTTCACTTGAGCAAGCCACAGCTAGCTAGCTGTGGAGCAACGGCCAAGAAGGAGAACTCGAGAAGCTTACCTAGCTCAGCCGACAGCCCCTGCCTTGACGGATGGCCGCCAGGTATGGGGAGGGAGACGGCGGCAGCAGCCACGATAGACGAACTGTGAGACGCACTGTGAGCGTCAACGACGCGGTACCACTAAAGTCCCGCCTCTACTCGGCGTGGTATCGCTTCAGATACGGTAAGCTTTGCGTGTTTCTGTGTCACATTAGTAGCCACAGACATAGCTCGTCCCAACCGCAGGTTGGCAGTTTCAGTCTAGTATCCCGCTGGACAAGAGTCCTGTTTGGCTACTGGGCCGGTGCTACCATGCGGAGGACCCTCTCGGTACGTGAATCACTGACTCTACATACACACCTAACTTTGGCTGTACTGATCCCTACAGAGCTGTCTGACGAGCTGGGAAAAGAAGGGGTCCCCCCTCACATTGTCCAGCTGATGGACCACTATTCCTCGCTGACCTGGATGACCTATCGCACACATTTCCCTCCCATATCCGACACGCTCCTCACGACAGACTGCGGCTGGGGCTGCATGGTGCGCAGTGGACAGATGCTACTGGCCACTGCTCTACACTACCATCTCCTCAACAGAGGCAAGACTATATTTCGGCATCTGAATTATTGCACGGTTTTTCCGTTTTTAAGACAGCACTGTCCAGTAATGGTTTACGTAATTCTCAATATCCGTAAAACTGTGCGCTCATGTTTGCTCGCTGGTAATGTTCTGGTACAATGCAAACACTGACTTGTGTGTATTTTACCACTGGCATGTGCCTTCTGATAATGGAAAAGGTGTTCAATTGTGAAGACAGTTCAGCTGTTGGCCCTAAAAGCAAACCTATAAAACCATGCTTCACTGGATATGACAACAAACGATCTCTCGCCCTGTATTATTACTGCCATTGAATGATGTGTTTGCTCCTTTCTCTCCCTGTAATAATAGACTGGAGATTATCGACAAGTACTGAGAGAGACAGAGCAACTCATGCACAGGTATTGTTTCTGTCTTATCGTTAGGTTTAACAGTGTCTGCTATGTACATAGAAGTATGCCCATGTTCCATTTTAGCATCTCGGTGTATTCTTATACTGTAGTTTTGTACCTAGCACAGCAAAGAGACAATGCCGTTCGCCAATGCATTGTGTGAACCTCTAGACGTGTAGTAGCGTTTTGTTAATATTTGAAGCAAAATTCCAACATTTCTATCACTCGAGAAGCACGCTAATCCCCGTGTGTTTCCCGATGTTCAGACAACCACCCACACCCTATTCTCAAGGCTCTGAAGTGTACTATCAATTGATCAAGCGATCAGCACAATAAATGACCCCTTAATACGGTGTACATACTGTAACGTCTGTATAATATCATAGCATGCATACATTGACATTGCATGCTTATTTTTATACACTTTATGCAAGTCAGCTAATAGCCACCTTTTGTTTCACAAGTTAAATTTTGTTATATCATAAAACCTCCCCCTCCCTCTGCTGGCAGATTCTCTCCTGGTTTGCCGACTCCCCGCAAAAGCTGTGTCCGTTTTCTCTGCATTCTCTCATGAGACAGGCCGAGGTTCAGGGCTACAGACCTGGAGACTGGTACGGTCCCTCACAGATCGCCTCCATCATGACGTGAGCTGATACAAAGTATTTGCCTCGTATCTCTAGCCTGTCAAAAGTTATTCTCTTTAACTTTCTATCTATGGTGCAAGTCTCTAGCCACACAGGCTAATAATATAGTTGTATGACGTGAACTTATCACCACTCTTTCATCTGTCCTCATCTCTTCCTGCACTTTATCTTTGTTACAATGCTTAGATGCATGTGCCGCATGACAAATTCATGAAAACCGTACTTACTATAGTTGCTAGGTGTTTTGTGTGATTTGTTTCTCTCTCTCCTGCCTCAGCCGGTGTCTGGAGATAGCAAAGAACGAGCATCCAAACCTCAGAAATCTCTCGGTCTACCTCGCCCGGGACTGCACAGGTATAGCAGGATACGATACTTTCACCAACATTGCACTAAACTCTGTTTGACGGAAGACTTTCTCACTTCAGTGTATGTAAAGGATGTCGAGCGACTGTTTGAAATTAACGATGGGGGCTCACTCCTTTTGCTGGTGCCCATACGGCTCGGAGGGGAGTCATTGAACCCCATATACATCCCTTGTGTCCAGGTGAGGAGATTGGCTCTGGACAGAAGAGTCATGTTAACAAATTCCACCTATCATAAGCAGTGAAACGTGTCCAAGGCAACCTGCATTTGTCCCTAGTAGGAAGGTTTTTATGTCTGCACATGTCCCTAGTAAGAAGGTTTTTATAGTGTATTGGCGATCAAGTGAACATTATTCTTAGTACGTAAATCCCATATTAGTATCCTTTCTTAGTAGTGGGGGAGCATATATAATAGTATTGATGTGGCTATTGTGTGTGTATGATGCAGAATCTGCTGAGTCTGGACCACTGCATTGGCATCATTGGTGGCAAACCAAAGCACTCTGTGTACTTTGTCGGGTTTCAAGGTGAGATTACTACAGTGCTTATATATACACCTTTTCAATTTAGAATCGGATTAGAATCGACTTCGAATCAATGATGTAAGCATGTTATTTTGTCTTAAGTGTACTCACTTACATGTACTAGTAGTGCTCTTAACACATAATTATTCTACTGATTTCTCTGTCTACAGATGACAAGCTCCTGAACCTTGACCCACACTTCTGCCAGCTAGCAGTCAGCATCAACTCCTCCGACTTTGACATTCGTTCCTACCACTGCCGGAGTCCGCGGAAACTCACCGCCTCCAAGATGGATCCTTCCTGCACCATCGGCTTCTTCTGCCACTCCAGAGAAGAGTTCCACGTCCTGCGTCGCAAGACTGAGCCTGTGAGTCCAGCATGAGTATATACAGTATAAAGTGAAATCAGGGCTGGTGTGTATGTTAGGGACTCACTAGTACTACAGTGGAACCCCTCTAATCAAGACATTAATGGGATATCTATAGTAGTGCAACGTTGCAAGCAACAACTGTTCTAGGGGAAGAAAAGTGTCCATATTAAAAGAATTGTCCCCATTTCAGGAGTGTCTTCAGAGAGGTTATATATATATATATTATATAGGCCATTGTCGACTGTGTTGTGTATTATCCAGAGGTATAATATTAACATTACAATGTGGAGTAATGACCCAGCACCTTGTCATGTTGTCCGTCCACAGGTGCTGGCTCCACCGAAGCAGAAAGGTGTCTACCCTTTCTTCACGTTTGCCGACATGTCAATGGGCGACGTCATCACTGACTCCGCCCTCGGACAATTGGACATTTCGACTCTCGGCAGCGGGAGCTCGCATCAGAGTCACAATACGGGTGACTCCCGTTCGTTAGGCGCTGATTACTCCGACGACGAGTTCCTGGTGGTAGAATGTAGAACTAATGCAGCCGGGACTCTAACAGCGTCCCTCCTGGCGCCAGTTTCTCCACATCAGGTCAGGAGGGACGGAGAGACAACGGAGGACGGAGGCTCCAAGATGCAGCACATCACTCTGAATGGATCCAACTCTACATGTGCTGACAATTTGAAAACTTGAACGACGGAATGTGTTCTTTTTTTTTATTTGTCCTTCGTGTGTGAATTTTCTCTCTGTGTGTGTACTATTTATTGTTGTTCCTTTTCCGTCCTCACAAAATGTTTGTTTATCCCCTCATTACAGGCACATGCACATGCACATTATTTTGCAGTTTATGCACGGCTGTTTTCTATGGTGGCCCATTGGGGAGAGAATTTGCAGTTATTGTGTGTTCACGCACGAATGCTGGGAGCTGGGGACATGAAATTAAGGTTCCAAAATTTCGAGATACTTTAGCGATACTTTAGCGAGCCAGGAATGCCCAGGATATTGATTGCGTGACGTAAATATTGTGGCCGGCTAGGCTGAGCCAGGCCATTCTGGCACGCTACAGTAGTAGCTCGCAAAAAGAGGAAGGAGATGGCGAGTTCGGAGGAGAGCGACCAACAGAAGGTCGGGGAGGCAAAAGCTGAGACCGGCGAAAGGTTTACGTTCTTTTTCGGAGCCGAGTCTCCGTTCAGTCAGTGGCACTCTGCTGTGTTCGCCGTGGACGGCGTCGAATACAACTGCGCAGAGCAATACATGATGCACCGGAAGGCTGGTCAGTTGCTTTAAAACGTGCAGTATGTCTAGGAGTCTGGCGCTGCCTGCCTGAAGTTTAGCCTGTAGCTCAGGGGGAACGATGAGTAGACGTCTATACGCCGAAGACGAGCCACGCCTACTTTTCAGGCGCCCTGACACACTCCATTTCTCTGCAGTTCTCTTTGCAGACGAGACACTGGCTGCCAAGATCATGGCCAGTGACCACCCTCGAGATCAGAAGGCCCTGGGGAGGAAAGTCAGCAATTTCAACGAGGAAACTTGGAAAGAAAACTGCAGAGATATTGTCAAGAGAGGCAATCTGGCCAAGGTCACTATAATAGCTATAATAATTATAGTGATTTTACATCTCGCATTGTGGCTACGTTACAAGATGCAGTGATAGAGTTTGCTGTATTCTATAGTCATGTGTTTATATATAGGGTTATGTCTCCATTTGTCTCTCTGTAGGGTGTATGTAAGGCATGCAAAGGCCTGTTTCCTTTGAACTACCCCACACAGCACTCCACCTGTATAATCTCCCTTTCTGTATACTACTCTCTTATCTACTGCTAAAGTTCTCTCAGAATGACGATTTGAGAGCAGAGCTGATGAAGACCAGAGGAACTACTCTAGTGGAGGCAGCTCCCGGGGACACTGTGTGGGGCATTGGACTCTCTGCAACCAATTGGAAGGCACAACACAGACAACGTTGGAGAGGTAAAAGTGGAAAGTGGCCTTTGCAATTAAATAATAATTGTTTTTGCCCTTTTCTGTCCTATATACTATATACAGGGAAAAAATCTGTTGGGTGAGATATTGACAGAAGTTAGAGAAGAATTAACTTCGTAATGATTTTTCGCTCATTGCATAATTATAGTAATACCCACAGTGTACATAGTCGAGTTGGGCGCATGATTGCTATTAATTCCCACATCCGCACCGCACGCGTGCGTATTGCTGCTGCTATATACAAAAGGTCTCCAAATATCAGTTCGTAGATGAGATCAGTCATGTGCACACTAACATCATCCTCAAACAGTCTTCCGCTGTCTTTACACAGAGAGAGAGAGCTATTAGTCAACTCACATCCCACGCCATATGATGAGTAACCCCCACTCCTACATGCAACAGTAGCCTCTTCATCTCCCCAGAAAAGCCCGATTGTAGTTCATTGCTGCACAAGGTTGCTTCACCACGTTCCAGAAGTAATCAAACTCAATCATTTGAACATGTCCCACGCACTGGGCACCTGGGGACGTTTTTTTTTCAAACACTGGCACAGCACGCTCGCTGCAAAGCCTACTATCTATACGCATGCGCATACTATCTGTGTTGTGCGCACGCGCGGATCTGCGTAAAGTTAGTTGAGCGAGCAGGCATGGCAGGCTGCCGGACAGTGAGCGTCCAACTATTTATCCGTAATTTTACGTAATTCGAACACCATTTACGGGCAAAAATCGAAGAATACGGAGGAGAAGCGCGCTCGAGAAGGAATGAAAAGCACTAAAGTGCAAACCCTCGGCGAAGTAGCCCGCAGAGTGTCTGACACGGACTAGCTACAGTAGTAGATAGCACGCGAGAGTCGATACACGCCATTCGTTGTGACTTCTTGTGCCTTCAAGATAGACAGAGCAAGCGGACCCGGTCGAGGTAAGCCTGTGCTAAATATAAGCGCATGCGCATTATCCGCCAGCGATAAAATGCCGACTACCGGCATTAGCCATACAATGCTGGAAGCGCTCTAGCTTTGCAACGGAGCATTTTCAGAGAAAACCCCACAAACTTCTGACCTTCATTGCCCGTTGAGTAGGTCATATCGTTTGTGAGACGAACAAACATTCGAAAAGTGAGATGTAGAGTAACAGACACATACACACACCCACACATCCAACTACAGTACACTCGATGCGCATGCGCGCCGAGGGTAATAACGACAATTCAAGCGCGCTACGGAAAAGTTACGCAAAATATATGTGCACGGATGACCGTAAAGTTTAGTTGGAGGCAGGATGCGGTTGCCTTCGTTGTTGCTCTTCGTAGCGGCCTCCTGTGCTTTCGTTCACGGTAAAATATAGTGTGTGTAACTATAGCTCTGTATTCAATGAGTCGTATGTAGGCGATTGCGACCGTGTTAGCACGCTACCTACCAACATATTATCTGAACGGGAGTACGTGGTGAGATTGAGCCAGAACTGTGAAGATCATACTACAGATAGTCCCATATTCTGTGAGGACAGTGGCTGGGGAGATGAAGAAGCTAATGTAGTGTGCAAGAGCAAGATGAACACAACCTATGGATTGGGTGGTAATATTCACCTTACAACAAACCAGTTATCCTGCTACACATCATATCTCACCAGATTATATTATGTTTGCTGAAACTGATTACCAAGTTGGCTACGCTCATGTGTACTGCATGGGATATGAGGATAGGCTGGAAGACTGTGAAGTGGGGAACCTTACATCACACAATTGCTCATATCTTGGCATTGCCCGCTGCCTTGATGGTAAATAATACACCAATAAGATACTTTTATCTTCTCATCTAGTTCCTCAGGTTCTTGTATCCAGGGGGAAAAGTTACCAGTATTTTGAACGAGTAGAAATTTTCGAGAATGAAACTGCTGATTTTTGTGTCATTGTGTGGGGACCGCTCTCACAACCTCTACATGTACTAGTAGAAACCACTGACAATGGTGCGGCAGTGGGTGAGTCCTATCATCTAAAAAGAAGGGACAAATATATGATTGTTTTCATAATTTCAGCTAACTTTGACTATCGTCCTCTACAACAAACTGTTACATTTGAGCCGACTAAGTCTTTGAGATCACAGCAGTGTCTGAAGATAGAGCTCATTGATGACTCTCTGGCTGAGTTCTGGGAGATGTTCTCTGTTACTATCTCCACTAACAGCTCTACTGTTAACCTCACTCGACGAGAATTCAACGTCTTCATTGGACCAAACGATGGTATATATTAGAGTCACTTGTTTTAAATATGATATGATGATTTACTCAATCATAGGTGAATGCATTGAAGGCAATGTGACAGGGTCAACTAATGGCCGTCTTCGGTTGGTAGAGATGTGTAACAGTGATGGAGTATGGTCTCCAATCTGTGATAATGAATGGACCCAAGAAGATGCCACTGTCGTCTGCAGAGAACTCGGCTACCAAAGTTAATAATTGTTTTATACTACCATTGCCGTAGCTATTTGGTTAACTATTAGATGCCTTTGTTTAACCAACCCCTACATACAGAGCCAAAGAGTGTGAGATATGAGACCATCAACAAGACCATGGTAAATGCTATTCATACTAATATTTCCTGTAGAGGCAATGAAACAGCTCTCAGAGACTGTGTTTCCACTGAGCCTCCAGTCAACACAGTCTGCCAGTTGGCTCTGGTAGACTGCAGTCCTGACGTCACAGTTATAGTAGATCCCGAGGTTGAAGACCCTAATGATGGTGATACTGGTGGAGTGAGAATGCTAGCTGGTGTATTGTCTGCTGTACTCCTGCTGGTGATACTTACTGTAGCAGTTGGCATTGTTGTTGGACTGAAATGTCAACGTAGAGGTCAAGTCAAGATCACTACTCCGCACAACCCAGCCTACAATGTTGTGCAAAGGTCAGATGTTCCAGATACTGCTTCAGTGTTTTATATTAATCTACAGCAGGGTACATCTATTCCCCAATATCCGCTATTGTGTGGTAGTTACAATTTGGCTCATAACTTTTATTAGCGATGTTTTAATCATGTATTGTGGTATATACATATCTACACAATCCCATGTATGCAGTAAACACAGGGGAGTTGCAAAGCCAACACAGCAAGGGACTTCAGAGGGAAGAACGAATGTTTCTGCAGTCACAGACTCTCACCACAGTGTCTGCATGCAGTCTAATCTTTACAACGTCATCTCTTCTCAAACTCAGACATCAGAGGAACTGGAATATGACTATGTACAGTAGTCACCTATAGTATGGTGTGGAACAGTTTTTCTCATGTATATAGCTATTGTTCACATGGCTCTTGGTGCTCTCATCATCCAAATGCATAGCTAAACAAGGAAAGGATGAGCTAAACGTGGGTGGATTGTGTATGAGGTGTCAGTTCAAAGGAGGTATAGGTTACATAGAGCCTACTGTGCACCTGCCCAGAAAGGAAAGAGCAGCCAACCCCATTTGACCACAAGGCATTTCAGCCATAGTAAGAGATGCCATGCATCCTTAGCCTTGTCCCCCTACAACTGCTACTGCCCATTTCGTAATGGTTAGCATGTGAATGATAGCAGTATAATACCAGAGACACTGTAAATGATTACAGTATAAAGACCAGAGAAAACTACTAGTCTTCCACCGCTCTTGGTCCAAGCATTATTCACTGATGACGATGCTGTAAGAGGACCGCTAGTGTGTAGGGTTTGGGCTCTGCAAAGAATTGGAAGGCACAACACAGGCATACCTCCCAACCTGCAGATAAACCTTTACTCGAGAAATGCGTCAACGTTGCTTTGGAGTATATACTATTGCTTGAAAATGCTGCCTGTCCACTGTCCATTCAAAATGTATGGGCATATGCATCACAGGTTGGCACAAAAAAGAGGGATTTGGTAATTTTCTGGTGGAATAGGCAGTATTTTGGCTTGATTATCAAGCAAAAAGCTGGATGGCTGGTAGAGTATGCACAGGCTCATGACCAGCGTCGACGCGTCCCGCGCAAAATTTCCCGGTTTCTACAACCAACTTCCGGTAACACAATAGAGCAACACAAAGTCGAGCGAGCAGGCAGACTGCAGCACCGGACAGTAGTAGGATGAGGTTCCCTTTGTTGTTGCTCTTCATAGCGGCCTCCTGTGCTTTCGTTCACGGTAAAATATAGTGTCTGTAACTATAGCTCTGTATTATAATGAGTCGTGTGATACGTATGTAGGCGATTGCGACCGTGTTAGCACGCTACCTACTAACATATCTGAACGGGAGTACGTCGTGAGATTGAGCCAGAACTGTGAAGATCATACTACAGATAGTCCCATATTCTGTGAGGACAGCGGCTGGGGAGATGAAGAAGCTAATGTAGTGTGCAAGAGCAAGATTAACACAACCTATGGATTGGGTGGTAATTTTTTATAGCTATTCACCTTACAACTAACCAGTTATCCTGCTACACATCATATCTCACCAGATTATATTGGGTTTGCTGATACTGATTACCAAGTTGGCTACGCTCATGTGTACTGCAAGGGAAATGAAGAGAGGCTGGAACACTGTGAAGTGGGGAACCTTACATCACACAATTGCTCATATCTGGCTCGCGCCTTGAGGTCATGGCTCGCATTGATGCCTCATATAGTCCTAGCTGATCCCATGAGAGTGAAGAAGCTAATGTAGTGTGCAAGAGCAAGATTAACACAACCTATGGATTGGGTGGTAATTTTCATAGCTATTCACCTTACAACTAACCAGTTATCCTGCTACACATCATATCTCACCAGATTATAATTGGATTTGCTGATACTGATTACCAAGTTGGCTACGCTCATGTGTACTGCAAGGGAGATGAGGAGAGGCTGGAAGACTGTGAAGTGGGGAACCTTACATCACACAATTGCTCATATCTTGGCATTGCTCGCTGCCTTGATGGTAAATAATACACCAATAGGATACTTTTATCTTCTCATCTAGTTCCTCAGGTTCTTGTATCCAGGGGGAAAAAAGTTACCAGTATTTTGAACGAGTAGAAATTTTCGAGAATGAAACTGCTGATTTCTGTGTCATTGTGTGGGGACCGCTCTCACAACCTCTACATGTACTAGTGGAAACCACTGACAGTGGTGCAGCAGTGGGTGAGTCCTATCATCTAAAAAGAAGGGACAAACATGATTGTTTTCATAATTTCAGCTAACTTTGACTATCGTCCTCTACAACAAACTGTTACATTTGAGCCGACTGAGTCTTTGAGATCACAGCAGTGTCTGAAGATAGAGCTCATTGATGACTCTCTGGCTGAGTTCTGGGAGATGTTCTCTGTTACTATCTCCACTAACAGCTCTACTGTTAACCTCACTCGACGAGAATTCAACGTCTTCATTGGACCAAACGATGGTATATATTAGAGTAAGCACTTGTTTTAAATATGATATGATGATTTACTCAATCATAGGTGAATGCATTGAAGGCAATGTGACAGGGTCAACTAATGGCCGTCTTCAGTTGGTAGAGATGTGTAACAGTGATGGAGTATGGTCTCCAATCTGTGATAATGAATGGACCCAAGAAGATGCCACTGTCGTCTGCAGAGAACTCGGCTACCAAGGTTAATAATTGTTTTATACTACCATTGCCGTATTTGGTTAACTATTAGATGCCTTTGTTTAACCTACCCTATACATACAGAGCCAAAGAGTGTGAGATATGAGACCATCAACAAGACCATGGTAAATGCTACTCATATTTCCTGTAGAGGCAATGAAACAGCTCTCAGAGACTGTGTTTCCACTGAGCCTCCAGTCAACACAGTCTGCCAGTTGGCTC